ATATTATATATATATATATATATATATATATATATATATATATATATATATATATATATATATATGCTGTTTGTATTTAATTTTTAAAATATTTTAGATTCTTTTATTTTATTATTTGTAATATAATTCAATTTTAAAAAAAATTAATATTTTTATTAAAAAATTGATTTCACTAAATGGATGTTAGCGAGACTGAGAAATCTGAACTCAACCAGAATTTATTTGAGATGAATTTGAATTTGAATTATCTATCTCCGATAAAGATTGAGGGTGTGGAATACGAATTATTTAGAGATTCAAATTAAAATTTAGAAGATGCAAAAATGGTCTCTAATCTGCATCGTTGTCATACCTAATAAGTTAATTGGCGTGCAATCTTTTCTCTTTAAATTCCATCCTCTTTTCTTAAAATAAAAATAGTTAATTTGTTTTCTTTAGTCGAGGCATGAACCAGTTTCCCACAATTAGATTGGAGTTAGGATGTAAAAGACCAATGCCAACGTACATGTTGGTGACCGTATACCTGATTTCTTGTTTCAACTTAATTCTACACTTAATGAAAAAATGGCAAATACCTTAAACAAGTATACAAAATTGAACGGTTAAATTCTCACTTATGACTTAAGAGAACTTCGATAAGATAGAGTGAGTTTTTTTCCTTTTAATCAGAGGTCCTGATTTTGATCTCTGTCATGAAAATACAGTAGGAGAATTAATCTCTACAGTTGCGCGTAGAAGATATTCTTAACTAATTAAAAAAAAAAATTCACTTATAAAATCAAATTGTAACCACCCAATTTTCAGCAAAAGCAGCACGCATGAAAACCTCCAAAATTAGTTACATATATATTTTTAGATTATACATCTCACCAAATGAATTTTAATGGCATACGTACATGTAATTTAAAGACAAACCAACCATGTTATATTTTATTTTTATAAAATTTCGAATAAAAAAGTATACTTTAAGGGGCAAATACAAAACATGTGCAAAGTAAATCATAAGTTGAAAATTATTTTTTTCCCACTTTTTCACATTGGTTTACGGCCCATTTTCTTTCTAAAATTGTAATTACTAAATGAGGACATATTTGTAAAGAAAATTAAAATTTATAAAGAATTTATAAAAAATTTTCAATATTTTGTAAATTTAAAAGTTAAAGATTCTTTAAAAAAATTTATAAAGAATTTTGTACGTTAAATTTATAAATTTTTAATATCAAACGCAAATTAATATTTTCCACACTATCATTAGACTTTTATGACAACAAATAGTATCAATAGTTAACGAGGAAAAATTTGTAATATATTTAAAAAAATTCTTATTTTAGGATGAATGGTACAATTTTATTCCCACTATTAAAGTGTGAGGAGGTGATTAGAAAATTGATAGGGAGAAAAGATGATGAATGAAAATCATTCTTCTGAAACTCATGATTCTCCTTCAACCAAAAAGAAAAAAGGAGGATGGAAATCAGTCAAATACATTCTTGGTAAATAAATAATTAAATTTTCAATTACAATAGTTTTTATTTAATTTAATTTTCTTGATGATATGATTTTATGAATTAAAATTTTGTGTTTTGTTTGATTATAGGAAACGAGACATTCGAGAAATTGGCTTCTATGAGTTTGATAGCCAACTTAATTGTTTACATGCATACACAATATAACATGGACACAACATTTTCTGTTGAGGTTTTCAATATTTGGTCTGGTTTCACAAATTTTCTTCCTTTGGTAGCTGCTTATCTTGCAGATGCATATACTGGAAAATTTTATATGCTCATATTTGGCAGCGCAGCTTCATTAATGGTAAATACAAATTCTATTCTCTTATAAATTTTAAATTTGTATACATCTTATAAATGTGTCATGCACGTGACCCCGCTCATAATTTGAGAATGTGACAAAATTAAATGTAATTGTATTTGAATATTTTGAATCCTGACAAATGTCTTAACCATCGTAAGTTTTCAGAGGTCTTGGATCGTGAAGTTAGATTTAGGTCTAAATGTGATAAAATAAATAAAGGTCTATTTTGTCAAAGTTTTACTATGACAAATGTTTTGAGAGGCCTTTATAGATTATCTATATCATATTTTGAACTCTTTGAGATAGGTCGTCTGGCACCTCTTTAGAGACGATCCTGAGATACAAATGTAATCGCAATTGTAATTGTGATGTCTATGCAAAAACTTTAAAAACCTTTATATCGTGGTTATTGTTGAAGTTGTAAGGTTGTGTAAATATGAATGGGAGTTTCAATTTGTGACAGGGCATGGGATTCATGTCACTAGGAGCTGGTGTACCCTCATTAAGACCTCCACCCTGCTCCCCTTTTGATGATTGTGTACTGACAAATCCAACAAGCACGCAGCTCGCTGTTTTATATGTGGGACTTGGGTTTTTCGCAATCGGCTCAGGATGTCTAAGACCATGCAACATTGCCTTCGGAGCCGATCAATTCGATACAAAAACCGAAAAAGGAAGAGCACAGTTAGAGAGCTTTTGTAACTGGTGGTATTTCTTATTCACAATAGCCCTTTTGGTAGCTCTTACTGTTGTTGTGTACATTCAAACAAACATAAGCTGGTTTCTCGGTTACATTATCCCGACCGTTTGCTTCGCGTTCTCCCTGACAATCTTCATTATCGGACAAGGCACTTACGTTCGGTTAAAGCCAAACGGAAGCGTCATATGCGACTTATTCAAAGTAGTTCTTGCTGCATTTAGGAAACATCATGTTGATATGAAGAAAGATTCAGAACTCTCATTTTACGATCCACCATTAGCTTCTGACGAGCCGGAAGAATCAAGACAAACAAATCTCAAGCTTGCTCATACAAATAGGTTTAGATTTCTCGAGAAAGCCGCGGTGATTACAAACCAAGCTGAAGTCGACAGCAATGGAAAATCGATCGATGATTGGAGATTATGCAGTTTACAGCAAGTGGAAGAATTGAAGTCAATAGTAACAACATTACCAGTTTGGTTAGCAGGAATCATATGTTTTCTTTCAATGGGACAAGCGAATTCTTTCGGAATTTTACAAGCATTACAAACAGACAAATCAATGGGAAAAAAATTCAACATTCCACCTGCTTGGATGGGATTAGTACCTATGATTTCACTCTCATTATGGATTATACTCTATGAGAAAATCTATGTACCTTGGACTAAGAAAAAAACCTTAAAAGGTACAAGGTTGTCAATAGTACAAAGACTAACAATAGGGATCATTTGTTCCATTGCCTGCATGGTGGTTGCAGGCCTAACAGAAGTACGCCGCCGAAACAGCGCGTTGAAAAACAACTCATTAGAATCCCCTACAAGAATCTGGTGGCTTATTCCGCAGTTTGCTTTATCCGGTTTGGTAGAAGTTTTCGCCGCGATTCCTATGATGGAATTGTTAACTGCATATTGGCCTGAGAGCATGAAGACATTAGGTGGTGCAGTGTTTTTCTTTAGCTTAAGCATTGCAAGTTCATTGAGCAATATTCTTATAAAGATTATTGTTGGTTTGACAAAGAGGAATGGTGGAACACCTTGGTTAGGTGGAAATGATTTGAATAAGAATAGGCTCGAGTATTATTACTATACTATTGCTGTTCTTGGAGGGTTGAACTTGTTGTATTTTTCTTTCTTTGCTCGGTTTTTTCTGTCTAGTGAGGTGTTACAGAGACAGATTAAAGCAGAAGATGAAGAAAATGATAATCGACAATAGTAGGTGAATTCCAGAGTCTATGCTCATTTTATAGAACTGAAAATGTGTTGAAAATTTAAATAGAGCATATTTGTTCATTATCAATGTGAATATTATTTGTTGTAATAATTTACATAATGAAAGAAAAACAGAAGAGAGTTGGATCTTTATCTTGTTTAAGTTATCTTGTTTAATAGATTAGAAGATATGAATACATTTTTATTGTTCCATATATTATCCTTACTTTCTGCCAAGAAAGTAATTTTCATGAAGAGAAAGATATATTTTCGGCAACCACAATTGTGGCTATAATATTAAAGATGTGGTAGCCTCCCCTTATCTTATCACTACATTATTATATATACCTACACATGCAAACAATTCATATCACCATGCACGTGCACACCCTTCACCTTCCTCACTTCCATAAACCACACTCCATTTCCATTTTCTTTACCACCTTCAAGAACCACTTTCCACATTTCCACCACCACCACTACCACCATCACAGCCACCATGACCATCGACACGCTCCGTCGATTCTTTCTACCATGTTTCACCCCTTCCACCACCACCACCAAACAGCCCACCACAACCTCAACCAAGAAAAACCGCACTAGCACCTCCTCCCTCCAAGACAACCACCACCATACTATCTCTCCTACCTCCTCCACCTCCTCCTCCGCCGCAACAACAATCTCCACAACCGCCCCACCCCGCCCCTCCAAATCCATGGTTATCGGCACCATCTTCGGCAACCGCCGCGGTCACGTCTGGTTCTGCATCCAACACGACCGCTTAACCCTAAAACCATCTCTCCTCCTCGAACTCCCCCTCTCCACCAACTCCCTCGTTCGCGAAATGCGCAACGGCCTCGTCCGCATCGCACTCGAATGCTGCACGTCCTCCGACAATCCCGCCTTCTCCAACTGCCCCCTCCGCTCCGTCCCTCTCTGGACCGCCTACTGCAACGGCCGTAAAACCGGTTTCTCCGCACGCCGCCGCGCCGGAGATTGGGTCCGCAACATTCTCTCAACCATGCAGTGCGTCACCGTCGGTGCCGGTGTTATACCTTCCGGATTCGGGTCGGGTTCCGAGGAGCTTATGTATATGCGTGCAAACTTCGAACACGTTGTAGGAAACGTTGATTCCGAGTCGTTTCATCTTGTTAACCCGGACGAGTGCACCGGTCAGGAACTCAGTGTTTTCTTGCTCCGATCCCGACACGGGGTGAATCGTTGAACTCAGTGATGTTCTTTTTTATTTTCTATTTTAAATTATGTACTTTTGATGTATTTTTTTTGGTACAGATAGATAACAGTAAAGATTTACAGAAAAAGATAATCTTTTTTTCATTCTTGATTTTTTAATGTGTTGGGATTTTCAATTTCTTTTGAGAATTGAAGTGTTGTTGCCACGTGAGTTTCTTTGTAAAGTTGATGGGTTTTTCTAAAACTAATCTCATTACTAATATTGTATTCTTGTTCACTTTTGTGTATAATATTGTAATGTAACATGGATTAGAGAGACTATAGTACGGTTTATGAATATGAATTTGTTTGATTTTTTTTTTAAATTAGTGTGTTAAGTTTTTCGAGGATAATTTCTTTTTAGCATGTCTTGGACTCATTTTGTTTGTGAATGATTTGTGTAATGTAATGGAAAATTAGATGCTAAGCCTTTTGATTAAGTGGTTTAGAAGAGGGGTTAAGCGTTCTCTGTTGTATGAATTTTAGGCACTTTTAATGTTATAGTGATCTCAGAAGTTTGATTTTATTGAAACTAAAAGCATGAGGTTTTGGAGAGAAATATCTGATTGAAATGGAAGCAAAAGTTGGCTATATGACCTTGAAAACTTAATAAAGCAGTAACAAACTCACGTTTTACTGGCCTGCAACGATGTATTAACTAACTGATAAGAGAAAAATGTTAATCACTATCTACAACTCCACTTTTTTAAAGAATAGAAATTCATTAAAGAATTAGAATAGGACTTTATTTAACAAACTGATAAGCATAATAATATTAAACGATAAATAAATTTATTATTCCCTCTCTTAAACTATACTTCCTCCGTTCTCTTTTATAAAAAAAAATTGATTTTTTAGATTCATTAAATAAATGATATATTTAAACTATATATTAGTTAAATACATCAATTATTCAATTAATCTAAAAAGTTAAAATTTTCTTATAAATATGCATTAATTTGAGAGACTTTGTCAATATGTCTTATGTATGTTCTCGAGAGTTATAGTAGCTTAACTCCACAACTTTATTCTTTGTCAAAATCTCTAAGAAATTAAATCTTATGTCAATATACCTGATTCTACCATGAAAGACTAGATTCTTAAACAATTTTATAGTAAAGTTATTTTTATCGAAGTTGCACAAGTTTTCAGAAGCTGAAACATTTAGAAGCTGAACACCATAGCTTAGTGTAATCTTACCATATCATATCCCACCTAAACTAAAAGTTCGTTATAATTAGTTAGAGATTGTTAGATCCTAAGCTTCTAGATAACCACTTGTTGTAACTAATTTGATCAATGAAATAATAAGATTTTGTTTCCATCTATGTCTTTTCTTTGTTTTTGTTCAGCTCTTTTAAGCTCTGTTGCACATTGCTTTCTTCCAATGATTCATAGTGGTGCCAATATTGGAGCCAACGCCATTGTCGGTGCTACAATGCAAGATCTATTTCAACAAACTTGGCAACATGTGTAATGTTCATCCTTTAGATGAACCTTCTTCTGTTTCGGTTAAACATGTGTTAACACATTCGAATTATGATGCATGGGTGAGATCCACGCGACGTGCGCTAGGAGGAAATAACAAATTTTATTTTTGTTGATGGTTCCATTCCAGTTCCAGAGGAATTTGATCCAAGTTTTAAAGTTTGGGATCGCTACAACATGTTAGTACACACGTGGATTATGAACTCAATTGAAGAATTCATAGCACACAATATCATTTTTCTTGAAAGCGCCATTGACGCTTGGAATGAACTCAAGGAGCTTTTTTCACAAGGTGATTACATTTGTATCTCTGAATTACAATGTGAAATCTTTTCTTTGAATCAAGACTCACGATTTTTGATTATTTTAGAACTTTGAATGTTCTTTGGGAAGAACTTGAAGCCTACTTTCCTACTAATATATGCTTGTGTCCGCATCGTTGGGTATGCAACACTGGCTTGAGTAATGCTAAGTAACAACATGAAGTTACACACTCAATTCTATTTCTTACTGGCTTGAATGACTCGTTTGATATGGTTCGCTCTCAAGTTATGTTGATAAATCCTTTAACTAACATCAACAATATTTTTTCTATGGTGATGCAACATGAACAACCGATCAAAGTCTTTATTTCTGATGAATCCAAGATTCTCCTTAATGTTTTTTATTACAAGAAGTTTCAAGGCAGAGGGCGTGTTAATTGTTTCTCATCCTTTGAAAATAAGAAAGTGTGCACACTTTATGGGAAAAACATTTGTACATTTGATACATGGGCTATAAGAAGCATGACTTTCCTTCTAACTTTGACAAATTGTTGCAACTAATAATTCTTCATTTAAAGAGAAAGATGATGTTGATGATTCAAAAAGTTATAAAGGAAATTGTTCTAGACTGAGCCATTGGCTAGGCATGGCCCAATCCACTTGTGCATCCAGGACGGTCCAAAATCATTAGCCCAACCAACTAGGGCTAAGAGAGGGCATGTCTCCCTTCTTCCCTGCGGCTAGGGTCGCGTGGTCGGTTGACCCCAGGGTCGACGAGACCATAACTACCTTTGACCATTTCTCTTCCTGTGATAACGGCTAGTTCTGGACATCTTTGCCTATGATAACGGCTAGTTCTAGGCATCTCTTCCCAGGATAACGAGCATGAGTTACACATCCTTGCTTTCACGCAAGAATCCTAGCAGTTACCTATTTTGGGCCTGGATCATGGATGCCCAGCCCATAACAGGAACAAATTGCCAAGCGTCAGGGGCACTATAAATAACCTCACACTTGTGAGGGTTAGGTAATTCAAAACTTATCCCTAAATTCTCTCACGTATCTTTGCGCTCTTACTTACTTCATCATCAAAGTGTCTTGCAGGTACACCCACCTCCTCTATGATTTCAGCACTACGGATGAAGTTTTTGGCCTATTACAGGTTCTGATCACTAGTAAGATCAGTGACGCTGTCTATGGGATACCTGTTTTCCCATCTTTCTTTCCTTGGAAACCAAATATCAAAGCAACGTTTCAAGATTCCTATCATGTCCAGCCAAAACAATGGCAACCTTGCTCATAAAACCGTCATCTCACCAATCCAAAAAATTAACAACGACGGAGAAATGCCACTTCTCAAAGAAGTTGTCCCTCTAAAGAGGGACGATCACACCGCATATCCTTCCTCCGACTAGGCGGAATACGATGATGTCCAGTTCGTGGAGATCGTAAAAATCAAGAAAGCTCAAGAAATGGCACCGGAAAACTTCCAACTAATTCTGATGTCGTCCAACACTGACCCAACTGAAATTCTGGTATATCAAACTTTAGATGTCCTATGACATGTTGGGACATCTGATCTCAACAAAATAACATGGCAAGATATAAACATATTAAAACAGTACTGAAAAGCATAAACAACATACAAGAATAGTTAACTCAGTTCATATCAACTCTCCTACTCTGGGGGCATACCAAGCCAGGGAAAAGTCCACTATAATAGTATCAATTCGAAGTTGAACTCCTCTGTTTACAAATTCTCACTTGATCACTACCCGTGCTATACTTCTATCTAAGACTCACCTAGATATGAGGCCCTCCTTAATCCATCATCAATCATAGACAGCGATTAGATATAACAGGAAGACACACTTCCATGACCGCAAAACTAGAAGATACACTTCCATGTCAATATTATAAGACTCACTTCTAAAACAACACGTAGCCAAGACTCTTAACCAATAACACAACTTGGAGTTACTTAAAAGCTCCATCCAAGAATAATACTAAAATCATTACCAAAAGGCTTCTGAGTGAGAACAAAACCTTACAACTCAAGGAACAACAGTCCAACTCACATGTCGAGTGGATCACACAAACTAACTCTCCTAGAGAGTGGCAGACTCAGCCCTAATAACTACATCTTTTCATTCACGACTGATACCTTTTCCTAGGTTACAATGCTTCTATTTATAACCTATCTCCCAACTAGATTTGGGCTTCAAATCACAACATATCAGATGTTACAAATCTGCAAAAGATTCTGCAACAAAATATGTCTTCAATCAAATCTTTCTTAAAAAGTCTCCTTATTTAGAAAGTCAATATTCTTCAACATTCTTCTTGATTCTTCCATACCTTTAAATCAGCGCCACATATAACTACATAAAATTTTCAGAATATTTTGCATTTGTTAAATCATAACAGAATCCAATTGTTCAGCTCAACACATGCGCAATGTCGAATGACCCTGCATAGGATATCTTATCTGACATGTTTCTCCAGATGATGAGAACTTCTCATCTCAACATGTATCAACATAAAATAGGACTTCTTGCTCAACATGTTATTCATAGCAAGTAATCACATCCTATTTAACAAATTATTGCTATATTTGTTTAACTAAAATTAATGTCAATCCTAAAAATAGAGAATTAATAATCTCCCCCTTTGGAAAATTTAGGCTAAAAAAATAAGCATATTACAATTCAGATTACATCAATAAAACCAAACACAAACATCAGCAGTCTCCAGTAACTATTGAATCACAGCAGCATAGCAACATGGAGGAACATCTCTTCACAAGCACAATGATGTTAGAACATCATGTTAGACATCTTCTTTATATCAGCTCCATTGCAACACAAAAACTCAACACCAAAGAACAACAACCTCATGATAGAAGAATAGAAAGTTCTGAAGTCATTTGGTGTAAATGAGGAAAAAGATAGGTAACACTCCCCCTTAACCCTGAAACCTATTCTAGTCATAGATGCATAAGTATTTCTATCAAATGGTGGCATAAGAGAACCATGAAGAAACCACCAGTCAACCTGTGGCATAAGAGGAAACTTAAGAAATATCCAACCACCACTCTAGGTGACTCAGAACACAGGTTACAATTGTGTTCATAACTCATATCACAAGTCACAAAACAAACCCAAACAAACATAGGATAAAGCATCATATTTGACATGTTTGTACAACATATGAAAATACAAACTCCAGGCCAACCATATGA